TCTTTGTGGTCATGTTGTGTCTGTGTGATACTTTTGTGTTACCTTTGAGTTGTGTTGTGGGTCTTGGGAATCATTTAGTCTTTGGAGTCACTTTGCATCTCTTTTTGTTTTGGTTTCTGTCTTTTCTTTGTGGATGTTTTCTGTTTCCTTCTTCAGCTCCTTTCACAATAAAACACGTTCTCCTGACGTTCTGTTCTGTGTTTGATGCAGATCATGTAAATGTGCAGCACTGAAGTCGAACATAAACCATCACGGTTCGTCTCATAGAGAGAGATCTGCACTTGTTTAAGTTTAGTTTGTTGTGTTTCATGTAATTAACGCACAAAAAAGGCTCGTTAAAGTTGTAATATTGCATTTTAGCGGCTGCAACAAACAGTTATTTCTGTTATCAGTATTAGTTAAGAAGAGTTTAAAATAAAAAGAGTAAAAAAAGTCAGAAAATCACTGAATCAGCACCAAAAAACAACTAAAGTTGACTTTTGTGTCACAGAAAACCAGCAGATGTTCACCTGTGCAGGTAGATTTTATTTTAAATTAAAAGGTGGCCGTTCTAATTGATCCGTTATCGGAGCGGTGTGCCGATCAGTCAGCTGATCGTCTGATTGATCATCAGACGCCTCATCAAAGATTTCTTCTCATCGACGCTCCGCACAGAGCAGAACCCAACAGAACCGATCTAAACGGTGGTTTGTTGTTTTACAGATGTTCAGTGTTTCACAGCGTTACAGCTGGAATCTAAACACTCAGCACCGTCGTCATAACGGACTGTAATGATCTCATGTTGCCATGGTGACCAACACTAACTGCTTTGTGACAGTTTGGTCTCCTTTACGTCATTTCCTGTCTTGTCTTTGTAAGCGTTTGTTTTGCATCTTGCTGCAGTTTTTCTGTTACTGGAGAGACTTTGCACCTGTTGTTGCTCATTTTATCAGTCTGTATGAATTTATGGTCATTTTGTTTCCGTTTGTTGTCGTTTTGTGTCTCTTTGTGGTCATTTTGTGTCCGTGTGTTGTCGTTTTGTGTCTCTTTGTGGTCATTTTGAACCACTTGGTGGTCACTTTTTGCCTGTTTGTGTTCACTTTGTGTCTCTTCTGAGTCATTT